TCCAGCAGTTTCTTTAGTGTCCTTTTCTCTGCCACTGTCACCAGAGTGTCCAGCTTCATGCCTACCACAGAGCCAGCCTTCCTGATCAGTTTTTCCAGCCTGGATGAGTCCTTCTTTGCTGTGCTGCTCCCCCAGCACACCACAGCATAGAACAGTACTCCAGCAACCACCGACTGGTAAAACATCCTCAGGAGCTTCCTGCAGATGTTAAAAGACCTCAGCCTCCTGAGGAAGTACAGTCGGCTTTGGGTTTTTTTGTACAGGTGCTCTGTGTTGCATGACCAGTCCTGTTGAACTTATTATGGGAAATAAATATTTAAATCAAAACAAGCTGCTGATTATTTCACATTTTACTTGTGAGCAACGGCACATTTAAATCTTACACATATAGTTATTTGGCTGATATCGTGATATATATCGTTATCGCCTGAAATGAAAAAAACATATCGTGATATGAAAAAATCTCATATCACCCAGCTCTAGTCTGACCTCAGATCTGTTTTAAGGACTTTTGGTCCAGAGGTGCTGTTCTCCATCATGGTCACACATGGCTTCTCTGTGTGATGGAGCAGTAACCTGCACGCTGAGCTGCTCGCTGGTTCTTTTGAAGTGTTCCTGAGCCCATGCACTGATGTTGTAATGTACAGGTCACAGTTATCGGCCTTGTCCCTGTGCACGATGAGACGTTCAAAGACACTTTGGAACTGAAGAACATTATTCTGAAATTGCAGTTTTTTGCAGGCCTGTCACTGACCTGTTGCCAGTTAGTTATCAAATGTTCCTCTCACTGTTTCTTACTTTTCCAACCTTTTGTTCCTAACTTCTCTGAGACGTGTTGCTGCCATCAGATCAGATATCAGGAATATGTCCTCTGTGTTCTATTGTGAGTAAAATACGAGTTTGTGAGATTTAAAATCTTTGTATTCCGTTTATATTTTCAAAAGTTCCAGATGAACCAATGAACTAACTACTTATGTTGAAGTCCCTTTTTTTTGGTCATTATTTACCAAAAAAACCTGTGTAAAAGAAAAAATAATGCACTGTTTTACAGCTACGGTTACAGCACCAAAATTCAGTGAACTTAAGCACAGCCGGTTCTTTCACACATGTTGGTAAAGGCAGACTGCACGGTGAGGTGCTCACGCCAATTTAAATGAAATATGCTCACTGTGTGTGCAATCTTTTCAGCAGCCTTAAACATTTAATTGTGTATGGAAGAAGTGGAAAATTTTAGCAGATAAATCCCCGTGTCCTCTCGGCGACGGTGGTGCTGACTGTGTCTGTGTGGCCGTCTCTGTGCAGGTGAAGCCATGTTGGAAGCACCGCTAAGCAGAAACTTCTCCCATAGCACATTTGTGTTACGAGGGTTTCCCTCGCTGCAGAAACACCGCCGGCTGTTGGCGCTGCCATTTAGCGCCTCCTACCTGTTGGTGCTGCTTGGAAACTCGCTGCTGATGTACATCATCTGCAGCGTGGAGAGACTGCACAGCCCCATGTACCTCCTCATTTGCACGCTCTGCTTTGTTGACATCCTGGTTGTGACAACCATCATCCCCAACATGCTCCTTGGCTTTCTGTTCAACTGGAATGAGATCTCATTGGTCGGCTGCTTGACTCAAATGTTCTTCATTCATTTCCTGTCCTCAGTGGAGTCAACCCTGTTGTTGGCAATGGCACTGGACCGCTACTTCGCCATCTGCCGGCCACTGCGCTACAATGAAATAATTAACTCCGCCATGCTGGTGAGGCTAGTGCTCTTCACGCTGGTGCGCAGCGTCTCCGTCATGGCGACGCTCGTAGGTTTGGCAGGTTCTCTGCAGTTCTGTGGTTCCAACGTAATCCAGCACTGCTACTGCGACCACATGGCGCTGGTCAGCCTGGCGTGTGACAGCACAAGCCGGAGCAGTGCAGCTGGCCTTGCTGTCATCATCTGCTTCGTAGGAGCTGACATACCAATTATTTTCTTTTCCTACATGAAGATACTGAGCGTGGTCTTGCGATCAGCAGCAGCCGGTGAAGACAGCAGGAAAGCTTTTCACACCTGCAGCACTCACCTCATTGTTATGATGTGCTTTTACCTGGTGGGCAGCATCACCTTCCTCTCTCACAACCTGAACATCCCTATACCAACAGATATCAACAATTCCATGGGACTCATGTACATCCTTTTCCCAGCAGCAATCAACCCTGTCATCTACGGAGTACGAACCAAAGAAATCCGTGACAGCTTTCTGAGAATTTTCAAAAACAGAGCAAAGAAAATAATGACTGTGAAGGTTTCGTCTGCTGGAAAAGGAAAATCATGAAGCCCCTCTTCTGTGGGGTTTGGTTTATATGATCTTCATGAACCTCTTTTATGCAAACATACTTTTTTATACAACTAATGCCTGTAGGCTAGCTATGTGGTCGGCATGAAGCTGGACACTCTGGTGTCAGTGGCAGAGAAAAGGACACTAAAGAAACTGCTGGACATTATGGACACTGCTGGGCATCCTCTGCACACGGCCATAAACAACCAGAAGAGTCTGTTCAGTGACAGGTTGCTTCTCCCAAAGACAAGAACCAACAGACTTAAAAACTCCTTTGTCCCACACGCCATCAAACTGTTTAACTCCTCTCTGGAGGGGAGAGGGAGGGGAAACAGGAGGACAAAGGAGGGGGGAACAACTAAGCTGTAGTGCCTCTCCACTTCACTGTGCAATTACCTTTTGTGCAATACTTTTTGTTAATAGTCAGCGGTGCAATAGACTCCATACTTGAAATGTGCAATTCACTTGTATTTTTATTTTTATTTTTATTCCTATTTATTCTATTTATCCCCTTTGTATATTTTATCTACTGTATATATGTCTTTGTATTTATATATATGTATATATTTATATATATAATATTCTGTAACTCTGTAACTTCTGTCGGTGCTGTGCTTTTTTGGAAACCGAATTTCCCAGAGGAACCCACCCGAGGGATTAATAAAGTTTTATCTTATCTTATCTTATCTTAGTTTCAGACTCTGAAGTGGAAACAGGACCTTCGAACCATCCCAGAGTTTCAGATTATAGACGGCTGCTTTGAAACTGGGTCCTGCTCATATGCACCAAATTTTTGCTTTTGGGAGTTCTTGGGTGCTGGAAAATATCCCGTCTGGGAACTCTGTTATCCAGTTGGAGTACCTCATTTTTTAATGTTGGCAATAACAGAGAAACTTGTTGATGGGGAGGAAGGGCTTGCTGGAGGCCAAGTGTTGTTCTGTTACTGGACTTCTGTTGGTCTATAATGAACATTAGTTGATTTTGTCATTTTTTACTTCATGCAATGGCCAACTCACCTGTCTCTGACCTGGACTAGGTGGGTTAAGGAGGATGCCAGACAGCCATGAAAAATGAAAGTGTGCTGGGAGGATCTGGGACGGGCCGTGGAGTGGAGATCTTCACCTCCTGCAAAACCTTTGCAGCATTATTCTGATGGGGGCCAGGGACACCGAGTCTGAATGGACCACATTCAACACCATCACTGCTGATGTGACTGAATGAGGCTATGGCTGTAAGGTGTTTAGGGCACGTCATGGCAGAGCCCCACCAGTAAACACTGGAGGTAAAGGGAAATGTGATGGTGAAGGATAAGACCTATCAGGGATAAAGGGCTTATGGGACAGTTGGCATGCTTAGGCAGAGTACGACCATGACATGAAAAAAGAGTGGGAGTTTTTCAGCGAGTGAGGTATTTGCTGCTGCTCTTGTGACCTAAGCACAGATATGCAGCAGAAAAATTAAACTGTGACTGCAAGGTATGCATGAGTCTGAAAACCTCCTGCAAGACGTGTTATCTGAAGTCTAACTGTTAATGAATGCTCAGGGGTTCAGACATGCTGTCGAAAGCATTTGCAGTTTGGTGAATCACTATAAAGCTTCTTTAAAAGGCATCTCTACAATTAACACATTCATTCATTTCCTTAAATGGAACACCCGGCATTAGGCATTAGCACGAGTACCGTATTTTTCGCACTATAAGGCGCTCTTAGAATTATTTAATTTTCTCAAAAATTGACAGCGCGCCTTATGTATGAATTCTGGTTGTGCTTACTGACCTCGAACTGATTTTATGTGGTACACGGCGCTCAAAACTCTGTCAAAAACGTTTCAGTACAACTTTGGTAAACTACGAAGCCGCACCGCTTGATGGTAGCATTATGGCTAGTGTAGTCAGTAGCCTCGTGGATTACTCTGGGTCCTAAACTCCGTCCCTTCAGGTCCTAAAGTCAAACAAACACTGCAGCATCACTGAGAGTTAAAAACTGTCTCAATTCTTTCATCTTTAATAAAAGTGTAACAGGTGTAACAATTAAGTTTAACATCCAGGCATCCATGAAAACAGAATTTATTCAATTTAAAGGAGTTAGAAGTTAGCAGGAAGTTAGCTCGCTAGCTTCCACCCAAACATGATATAGCATGTTCTGACTGAGAGATTTTTGAAAAATTCAAACGTAGAGCTCTGTTATTACTTCCAACATAAATGAAGACAGAAAACTAAACAGCAGTGACGTTTGTAGGGTTACTGAAGTTGGGCTAGCTGCTATATAATGATGTGCTACGTCATCGCTAGCTACACAGCTATGTTAGCATAGCATAAACACAGTGAAGCTGGAGGATGAATGCTAACTCTTTTCCACTCGATAAAAGTTAACGTGAGGGTTCCTGGTGGTCAGGGACAAATGTAATCGCATGGCAGGATGCTGTAAACGGACCAAACTTCAGTCAGGAGAACAACTGAGATAATCCATCCACAATACGAGGTTAGTTCAGTGTTGCCAACTTAGCGACTTTGTCGCTATATTTAGCGAGTTTTCAGACCCCCTAGCGACTTTTTTTCTTTAAAAAGTCGCTAAAAAAAGACGTGAAAGACATTACAAAAAACAATAATTGCTAAAAGAAATTTAATTTGTAGTTCTAAATAAATTCTAAATGCATTTAGGACGTTTTTTGCTCACTTTATGTCTCATCCACGATGTTATTTCTCTCTCCAGCAGCGTAGGTTACAATTACATTAGCATGACCAATTATGCAAATTAGGTGATGACGTCATTTAGCGACTTCTAGCGACTTTTAGGACAACCAATAGCGATTTTCCTTACTGAGGAGTTGGCAACACTGGGTTAGTTAATATACTGCAACAACATGGGAATAGAGCAGCTGCAGAGAATTCAGCATTAATGAATCAATGGTACAGAAGTGGAGGAAGCACGAAGAATGAGTCGGGTAAAGTTTGACTTATTTGACTGTTTTGTTTCGCTCAATGCGCCTTATAATCTGAAAAATATGCTAGTCTTTATCTGCCTTCAGCTCACCCTTTTCCCAGCATCCTCCTCTGTTGCACCAACCTTCTGCATGTCCTCCTCCACTACATCCATGAACCTCCTCTGAGCACCTCGTCGGTGAAAAAGTTCATTTTTGTTTAGTTTCACGAATCCACACAAATGGGGACACAAACGTCCTTTTATTTAAGATCCAGTGAAATATACAAGTTTTCCTCGCGCCCCGCCAAAATGAACAGTCAGACACAGCTGACATTTTCTGTTTTTTCTTAAACTGTACGTTACAATGCAAAAACTGGTTTCAGTCTGACTTTAAAGGAAGCAGAAACACATCTTACCCCTCATACAGGATGTTTGAGACTCTTTAACTTTGAATCATCAGACTTTTCAAAATAAAGGTTTGTACAATTTCTTTACCTGCTCAAGTCACCCGATACGACATATGGATGGATGACATCCCTGCCAATTCTCTTACAAATCATTGATGAATTTTTATGTGGATTCTCTTTCGTCAGCACAGCCACTAGTTTTACTTTGTTTCTGTAAAATCAGCCGGCACGTAGGGATTGCCCATTAGAGCGCTAATCTTCAGCGGTCTAAGGAGCCAGTCCCACAGGCCGAGAGACCGGACAACGACACTCTGGCAACCTCTGGTCATTGTTCACCAGCCAGCTGTGAGTGGTTAATGTAAAAGAAGGCCGCTACGCCACAAACCTCTCTGTGACTGCCTCCATCACCTGTAGTTTGCATATAAGACGTCGAGTCATCTGCAGACCAGAAAGAGAGGGCGGTCGCCCTCAAAGTAAAAGTTGCATCTTCCATGCAAACTTCAGGCAACTGAGGCAATCTGCCACAGGCCAGAACAACCACAGGAGGCTTTTGTTGCAGCGCCATATTTCACCGAGCAACAGCCACAACCAGTCGCCACCCAGTCACCAGCAGTGTGTTTGCTAGGAGGCCTGTGTGATGACCTCTGACCGCAACCCTGTTCTATCAGATTTTATTTAGTGAATAAAATAATATTTTCCATTTTGCTTGCTGTCTCTGAGTTTCAGTTCAGTTTCAATAAAAGATCTTTCGGTTTATTTTCTGTTTTAAACTTTATTACATTTAAGGTAAGTGAAGATTTACTGGGTGACGAAATGTTTCGGATATTTCAGTAGAAATTTAACATTTTATTAGCTTCAGAATTAGCCTGTCACACTAAAGTGACTCATAATTTTCAGAATGTTGTTTGAGGAAACAAAATATATATCTCTACAGTCTTAAAAGCATTCACAACGATCAGGCCACAATTCGAACAGTTGCTCTTTAAATTTCTGCAGATGTCTGATTGTTTCAGTTAAACAGAGGTAAAGGTAACAAACACGTAAAGGATGCCAATTATATTTGTCTGACACATGTATCATATTAAAGCGCAGCGTTTACTTTAAGGCAACATGAAGCCGTGCTGATTTTAAAAGAAACGAAGCGAATGGACGACCAGCGACTACCTGAAAGGAAGAAAATCGTTCATTATCAGCATGAACACATGAAACTGTATGCTATTTAAAATCAGTTTGATTATTCATGACATTAATAAATCATAGGAAGTATTTATTCATGCAAACTAGGCCACCGGTTGCTGTTAAATGGTCGGTGGCTCACTCTGACAGTTTGAGGTCCTCTTGTCGGGCGGGGAGGCCCAGCAGATGCTCTGCAGCTTCAGCAACACCGACTACAGATGGTGACTCAGCAAAATCCTCCATCGGCTGAAGTTTGGCTCCAGTGGCAGAGGGTTCAAGATCAACCGAGGCTGGCAGTGTTGTTTCTAAAGACGACCCTCTGATACAGAACTTTAAACTAATCTCAACACAACTTTACATCTGTTTGGTCCCTAATGGAAACACGTAGAACAAAGAGACATTAGAGGCATGCTACCAGCTGTCGTTAGGAGCTGCCGGGTCGGCGCTCCGGGCGACTCCGTCGGAGCAAAGAGCCGCTCCGATGTCTAGGCTG